AGAGAGAGAGAGAGATGAACATGCAGTGTTAGTCTTTAATCCTGTCTATTTCAGTCATTTCCCATGATGAAAGAAATTTCCTTCCAAAACTGTCTTTTGGCAGTGATCAGTAAAGCTCACTGTCCAAACCGCTCAGTCACGTGACAGCGATTTTACTGAGTGACTGTGATTTTACTGTCAGCTCGTTTTCCAGCTACAGACAGCCTGACGAACGACAAACTCCTCATATGTCTCTTCAGAGCCCCCCCTTTACCCCAGCTATACTCGACCATCCAAGCTGTGTTTGGTGTGTGAAGTTTGCTTCTTCAGTTTTCGGTACTGGAGCTGAGAGGCTAATGTAACTAACAAGTAACGGAAACTTCTACCACCCCAATTAGCACTGTGCTAACTGCACACTCAGACCGTCACACGCTCACCTTAGACTGTGTGTAAAACAGATAAAGCAATAAAGGAAGAGATAAACATCTAAAAGAGAGAGAGGCTTCCTGACAAACACACACACACACACACACACACACACACACAAATACACACACACACACACACACACACACAAATACACAGGCTGAGTAATTACACTAACAGACCCAAATAAAAACAGAGATCAGACAGAAACGCAGAGAGAAGCTTTAACCTCCTCATCTATTTACAGCTGTGTGGATGGAAACACACACGTCCACACATCTGTTACTGACTGAGCTTAACAAGCTTCTCCTCCCTCTCTAATGGCGCTCTCTCTCCCTCATTTCTCTCTCTCTAATCCTTTCATATTGTACTCAAACTCTCTTTCTCTCTGCTTTCCCTGCTCGTCTTTAACTGAGAGAGCAGGATGGCAGAAGAGAAGCTAAGAAAGATGAGGAGAGATAAGAGGAGAAGAGAGGAGAGAAAGCAATAGGGAGGAAAAAGGAAGATTAAATGTACATAAAATCAGAGAGAACGAGAGAGGGAGAGGAGAGAGAGAGAGAGAGAGAGAGAGGGAGAGAGAGAGAGGGAGAGAGAGAGAGAGAGAGAGAGAGAGAGAAAGAAAGAAAGAAAGAAAGAAAGAAAGAAAGAGATATGAAATGTGCCCTCCAAGCGCTCTGTCCAGGAGCTTAAGTAGAGGACCCAGCCCTATGAGTGCTCTGTCCAGGAGCTCAAATAGAGGACCCAGCCCTCTGAGCGCTCTGTCCAGGAGTTCAAACAGAGGACCCAGCCCTCTGGGCGCTCTGTCCAGGAGCTCGAACAGAGGACCCAGCCCTCCAAACGCTCTGACCACAAGCTCAAATAGAGGACTCAGCCCTCTGAGCGCTCTGTCCAGGAGTTCAAATAGAGGACCCAGCCCTCTAAGCGCTCTGTCCAGGAGCTCAAATAGAGGACCCAGCCCTCTGAGCGCTCTGTCCAGGAGTTCAAACAGAGGACCCAGCCCTATGGGCGCTCTGTCCAGGAGCTCAAATAGAGGACCCAGCCCTCTGAGCGCTCTGTCCAGGAGTTCAAATAGAGGACCCAGCCCTCTGAGCGCTCTGTCCAGGAGCTCAAATAGAGGACCCAGCCCTCTGAGCGCTCTGTCCAGGAGTTCAAACAGAGGACCCAGCCCTATGGGCGCTCTGTCCAGGAGCTCGAACAGAGGACCCAGCCCTCCAAACGCTCTGACCACAAGCTCAAATAGAGGACTCAGCCCTCTGAGCGCTCTGTCCAGGAGTTCAAATAGAGGACTCAGCCCTCTAAGCGCTCTGTCCAGGAGCTCAAATAGAGGACTCAGCCCTCTGAGCACTCTGTCCAGGAGCTCGATTAGAGGACCTAGCCTTCTGAGCACTCCGTCCAGGAGCTCAAACAGACAGGGTTAAATTTTGACACAAAACCATTTGTAGGTACAGCACAGTGGAGGATCCCCTACTGGAGGTCTCCTGAACGTTTGGGAAAGGGGCTTTTGTACAGGAGCCTCCATGACCAGAGATGGACTCTATTTGGAGTCACATATTTCCTTCAGCTGATTTCCTTCAGAGATATTTCAGAGAGCGAGAGCGAGAGAGAGAGAGAGAGAGAGAGAGAGAGAGAGAGAGAGAGAGAGAGAGAGAGAGAGAAAGAAATATGAAATGTGTACATAAAATCAGAGAGAAAAAGAGAGGAGAGAGAGCGAGAGAGAGAGAGAAGGATAGAGAGAAAAAAGATGAAGAGAGTTTAAGAGATTAAGAGAGAAAGACAGGAAAAAGAAAGAAAAGAGAAAAATTTCTTTAAAGATGAGACGATGAAGAGACAGAGCTTGCGTGACCAGACTTATTAAACTTAAACTTAAAGAAATTGAAAACACGTCTATCAGTGATAAACCTCTGCAGTCTTGTTCTATCCATTCACAATACATGTCATTTCAACATTGTCTAACCAGCTGGTAGGCTAATGGTATAAAGCATGACCAATATATTAATATTAATATCAATACTAATTCATAGTGCTCTAAAGCCACTGCTTTAAGAATCATGTTAAAATGAGGCCACATCAGCTCTCTCAGTCACACAGTGCTGACTCTTAGCTGTGTTCTCTGTCTGAGCACATTTGCATGACACTTTGCACATCACTGACTGAGTGTAACAGAGAACAGGGCGAGACAACACAAACAGTGCTGTAATACGAGAGGGGGGCAGGAAAAGGAAAGTGAGAGCAGAACGCAGAAGAAATAAACGTTAGTGGTCTCTTCAGCCTCTAGACCGAGGAAAAAGGTGGTGTCGGCCTTCGCATGGCTTTTTAGTTTAATCTTTGGTTAGTGGGCATAACCCAAGAGCGACATGCAATACATCGCTTCTGTCAGAACAAAATATCTCCAAAATGGTAACTTTTACAGGAGAAGGAAAAAACACACTTACTTTTACTGTAAGTCAATGGAACAGTAATTTTTTCCAAGTCATTTTGGGCCGTTTCTTTTGGCCCATTCTTCATGAAATTTACATACAATATAAAGGACAACAGGCATTTTCAAATTATGTCAAAAACTGAAAAATGACAAAAATGGAGATACGAGGTTTTGTTCCGACAGCAGCGATATGCTACGTCAAAACAGCTCAGCAGAGCTGATAAAAGAGGCTTAACATGGTGTCGCCTTTATCTGCGCACTGATGCACCTGAGCCTAAACACGAAACTTCAGAACCATTCAAAAATGGACACCAACAGATAAGATAAAAACACCTGGCAGGTGATATAAATGTAGCACCGTTGATAAATCGCTGTTATCGGCAGAAAACCTCGTATCTCCATTTCTGATGTTTTTCAGTTTTTGACATAATACGAAAATGCCTGTTGTTCTTTACATTGTAGGTATATTTCATGATGAATGGACCAAAAGAAACGGCCCAAAACGACTTGGAAAAAATTACTGTTCCATTGACTTACATTAAAAGTAAAGAAGGTTTTTTCCTTCTCCTGTAAAGTTACCATTTTGGAGATATGAGGTTTTCTTCCCACAATAGCGATATTTAAAGCACATTGTTTAATAATTGGTGACAGTCAGACAATGTTTTTTTTGGAATATTTAACTAAACTGTACTATCTACACCGATCAGGCATCACATTCTGACCACCTCCTTGTTTCTAGCTCATTGTCCTTTCTATCAGCTCCACTTACTATATAGTATATATTTATACTATAGATAAATCAGGACAGGCAACGGCAGAAAACCTGACTGTAGCAACTGTAGGTTGTACTGCATGCTTGGAAAGGGTGGGGAGAGGGAGGGGGATTCAGTTGGTTGCAATCTGCAACGTCACCACTAGATGCCACTAAATCTTACACACTGCAGCTTTAAACGCAACAAATATCATCTGACATTATAAGAATGAATTTAGCTTAGGAAGAGTTTCACTTCATCACATTATTCTACCCCAACCTACATTGTCCACTGGCAAAAACAAACAAACAAACAAACAAACAAAACAAAAACACTAACGGTGGTGCTTCACATCAGTGACACTTTGCGTCCTTCTTCTCACTGTAAGTTCACGCAACTTACACCTTCAAAGTCCTTCATGGTCTTGCTCTACGATTTCTGTCTGACATTCTCCGTCTATTTTTTCCTGCTTCTACACTGAGGTCCATTGTTTCTGGTACGTTTGTGGTCCCTTAATCTCTCATCTATGGGTGAACAGTCATTACTTTGGAATTCACTCCTGCAGAGACATTTCGCTCCTTTAATTCTTCAAATCACATTAAAAGGCCTTTTTTTTCCTTTTTTTTTTTCTTTTTACAGCCCATTCGCTGCCTCCTGTGACTGATTAATGCCAGTGTGGTTGGTGCCCCCTTAAGAAAGAGTAAACATATGGCAGCTGTTTTCCACCAGATGTTTATGATTGTGGCTGTTTTTTGTGTACTCTGGCGTTATTTGTTGTTCTTTTGCTTTGCCATGTTATTTGTTGTAGTGGTTGATTTTTCAAACTGATCTGAGGAAAAGTGCTATATAAATAATAATTATTATTGTTATTACAGCTCAGCTGGTGGAAGACCCTCTAGAAGACCCTCTAGCTCTTCCAGAACAGTGCAGGCTAAGCATTTTTAAACCCAGATGAAAAATATATTTGTTTAGAGTGGTTTATGCCTGGAGTGCTGGGTCTCTTATTATTTATTCTGTTGTTTGTAAATGTGTTGTTATTTAATTTAGTATTTTTCAGTTTTAATGATTCGCTTCTGTTCCTGTATGAAGCACTCTGTGATTGGTTGGCATTCTTATTATTCTTATAATTATGACTGTTATAGAAGTCACTAAGCTTTACAACAGCCGTGGAAAAAAAATAATCCTACCACTACGTATTTGTTGAAGACCAATCCAGGGACAAACACTGTAAAGCACATTAGTGTAAATTTATGATGTCGGACATTCTCTGTAATCTTCTATGCTCATGTACCTAAATAAATACATAATTAAATACAAATGTAGTAAATAAAGTCATCTTTTTAGTTTATTGTGTACTGTCTACATGTTCAATCCCACTTTGGTGATTTGGATGATTCTAAGACTCTATTCAGCACGTTACAGACCTGTTTGGTGACAGAGTGCAGTCTATGGCTGGCCGCTTGGTCTGGGGGATGGAGTAGAGGGGATAACGGTCGCCATGGCGAATCATCACATGCACAGACAGCAGTTTGTAGTCAGCCAGGCTGTGTCCTACAACACAACACATGCTAATTTGTATGTATGTAAGCAAGCGTATGTGCCCATTAATATACATTAGTATTCATACAGCTCTGTGCAAAAGTCATTTATTAAATTTTACAGCCAAAACAAGTTTTTCATTTTTCAGGAGATACTTCTGAGGAAATTAGATACAAGATACTCCACTTGTTTATAGGAAGGAGAAAGTCAAAAAAAAATAAATGGAGAAAGAGTTTCCAAAACCGAGTTCACTGAGAAAAGGAGACAGACACAAACAAAGAAGCTGAACAATGGACTGACCACCCCAGAGTCCAGACCTCAACATAGACAGAGAATAACAAACAGATAGACAGACAGACAGACAATTAGATAAACAGATAAACAGATAGATTGATAGACAGATTGATTGACAGACAGACAGACAGACAGACAGACAATTAGACAGACAGATCTTTATTGATCCTGAGGGGAAATTGCAGTGTTACAGTAGCAACACATATAATTCCACATAAACCTACACATATTAGGCAGAAATAAAGACCGAAATAAAAAGGAGACATAAGTTAGAATAAACTATGAGGGAGTAGAAATAAAAGTATATCTATTTGCATATTTACACAGCATATAAGACAGATCTGTGGGATTTACATGAGAGCAGGAAAAGAATCACTGAATGTGTTTGGGATTGTCTGGATTGTGAGAAGCAGAAAATGCAAAACCAACTTCTAAGACTGAACTTTGGAGGAGTGGAAAAACATCCCTGCAGATTTCTTAACTTGTACTTATATAGTTTATTGAATTAAAAGTAAAGTAAATTAATAAATGAAGGGGGGTCTCAGAATTTTGCGCTGTACTGTATGTTTCTCATGTTCCCATCTGCACTCAGTTTGGCTCGGTGGATGGATGTAGCTGTATGTGTTAGAGTGTATCTCACCCTCCCATGTGTGCTCCGTTTGGTTGGGGAGGTTACAGTAGCGATACGCGTCAGCGATGGGGTCCGGCTCAGGAGCCTCAGTGTGGACCACTGGGTTCACTCTCTTCCTGCTTTTACCACGGGGCACCTCCTCACCCACCGGACTGGTCGGCATCAGTTGCACTGAGAGAGAGAGAGAGAGAGAGAGAGAGAGAGAGAGAGAGAGAGAGAGAGAGAGAGAGAGAAGTGAAAAAGAGAGAGGAGAGTGAGAAAAATGAGAAAGAGAGAAAGGGAAAGAAGAAAGAGAGAGAAACAAGAAAAAGAGAAAAGAAAGAGAAGGGGTGACATAAAAAGAGAAACAAAATAAAGAAGTGAGAGACACAGAGAGAGAAAAGACGAGAGAGAGGGAGAGAGAAAGAGAAAGAAAAGACAGAGAGAGAGAGACTTGACTTTCAAAACACCTTTAATGTAACCAGTAAACACTAAAAACAGATCACACAGAAATCAGCACAAATGCAGCAAAACCATCACCTTACAAATTCACCACAAACCCACCAAGTCCATCCGGCTCGCAAATGAGCCCCCCACCCCCCCACACATGAAAAAAGGTGTCCAGGTCATTCACAAGACTATAAAATGCAAATTCAACATGGAGTCGTTTCATCACAAGACCTCTCACCATTAGGACAGGGTCAATCCCTCCACACCCCTTAATCCTGTTTTTCCTCGTGCACCAGATCGCCAACTTCGCTGCTCCAAACAAAAAGTTTAAAAGCACCACTTTGTCCTTTTTTAAAGCCGAATATTTGGGACCATAAATGAACAAACTATCCCTAAAAAACCCTAAAAATGTTAAACCCCAATTTTTGACTAACACTAAAATTGAACCTAACCGTGAGCACTGCAGAAAAACATGAAACAGAGTCTCTGGAGCACCACAGAAAGGACAACCCTCCCCAACTGTGGGATCGATCCGTGCCGCATGTCTGTTCGTAGCTAAAACCCCGTGTACAATCCTCCACTGGAGGTCGGCCGTTCTCTTTTCGATGGGCCTTTTGTACACAGACCGCCAGCTACCTTTTGGGGACGAGCCTGCCTCAACAACCTCAGACCATTTAGTCTCCTGCACATCCCTCAGGCTTCGAAAATTCAAAACTTTTGTGCATGCCTGATACAGCCTCTGTTTAGTGATTGCACTGAAAGCCCCAAGAGTCGGGGTTTCCATGGAAAGAAGTGCCCCTTGAAACTCCTGCCAGTCCTCCTGACCCATGTCCAGTACAAGTTCTGGGTAATCCATGTCCATGATCCGCCAGTCTTCCACGGGGGTTGCATCCAGGTATTCAGAGACAGGGGCGGACAGGTCAGATTTTAAACGTCCAAGCACCTGTGAAGCCAGGCGCACTGATCTTAGGTCAGTCATATCTGCCAAGTCCTCTGCTGTCATCCAGGATACACCCTGCCGCAAGTGGCGGATCTTACTCAAGCCCTTCTCCAAAAAGGTGACTCTCAATGCAGCTGAGAACTGGGACAATGCAGGTAAAACAGGGTTAAAAAACAGTGGTTCTTCAAAAACCCAGCGTGATGGAGCAACGCCCTCCCTTTGAAACTGAAAAGAGCTTCCATGCTTGCATTGCTGCTGAGTAAAAAGGAGTTAAGCCTTCCAAGTCCACTGTCCCTAAAACAAGAGAAAAGAGGTGCTTGTCAAGGCCCATGCGTCCAGCAACCCTTAGGAGGGCACAAGCTACATCAGTCCAGCAATGGTGTGTATGATACAGAAGGCGCTGCACAGCCTGCAAACGCAGAACAGCGATTCTGGATCGAATGTCTATCAGGCCCTGTCCTCCTTCCTGCACCGGGAGGTAAAGTACAGCAGCCCTGAGCCAGTGATGTCCATTCCAAAAAAAGTTTACCAGTGCCTTCTGAATGTCATCGACCAGACCATCAGGGGGATTCAGCACAGTAAACTTATGCCAAAGAGCTGATGCAATCAGGTTTTTGGCAATCAAAACTCAGCCCCGATACGATAGCTGGGGTAGCAGGCGAGACCATGTAGACAACCTGGCATGGACCTTCTCTCTTCACCCCTCCCAGTTCTGGATCTGGGCCTGATCAGTGCCTAACCAAACCCCTAAAAACTTCAGACCAAATCTGCCCCACTTAACACCACCTGGAATTGGTGGCATGGAGAGGTTCTCAGTATGAACACCACACCATAGCGCTTCTGTTTTGCTCCAGTTCAACTTAGCAGAGGAAGCTCGCTCATAAATGTCTAAGCACTCTTGTAAGGAATGAACATCATGCTCATGACAAATTACCAAAGAAATATCATCGGCGTACGCCAAAAGCTTCACAGAACTTCCTTGAAACTGTAAGCCTGACAGCCTCTTCCTTAGTAAACAAAGGAAAGGCTCTACGGCCAGAGAATACAGCTGACCTGATAAAGGGCACCCCTGCCTGATTCCTCTGCTAACTAGAACTGGAACACTTAAAACCCCTCCTGCCTTAATCATACAGGAGGCCCCAGTGTACAACAGTCTAACCCAGGATAAAAACCTGTCACCAAAACCAAAAGCTTTTAAGGTATCAAATAGGTACTCATGGTCAACCCGATCAAAAGCTTTCTCTTGATCAAGTGACAACAGACCTCCGAACCAGACAATTTCGCAAAATCAACCAAATCTCTAAGCAAAAATAAGTTGTCATAAATTGATCGTTTGGGAATGCAATAAGATTGGTCTTCATGAACCAGTGTGTGTAAAACCTCTTTAAGTCTGTTTGCAATGCATCGTGACAGAATTTTATAGTCCGAACATAGGAGCGACACCGGCCTCCAGTTCTTAAGTAAGCAGAGGTCTCCCTTCTTCGGCAAGAGAGAGAGGACCGCACGCTGGCAGCTCTTTGGAAGCATCTTGGCCTCAAAGCAGGCCTGAAAAACACTAAACAAGTCCTCTCCGATGACTCCCCAGAAGGCCTTATAAAAGTCCACAGGCAAAAGCCCTTCTCCAAAAAGGTGACTCTCAATGCAGCTGAGAACTGGGACAATGCAGGTAAAACAGGGTTAAAAAACAGTGGTTCTTCAAAAACCCAGCGTGATGGAGCAACGCCCTCCCTCGAAACTGAAAAGAGCTTCCATGCTTGCATTGCTGCTGAGTAAAAAGGAGTTAAGCCTTCCAAGTCCACTGTCCCTAAAACAAGAGAAAAGAGGTGCTTGTCAAGGCCCATGCGTCCAGCAACCCTTAGGAGGGCACAAGCTACATCAGTCCAGCAATGGTGTGTACGATACAGAAGGCGCTGCACAGCCTGCAAACGCAGAACAGCGATTCTGGATCGCATGTCTATCAGGCCCTGTCCTCCTTCCTGCACCGGGAGGTAAAGTGCAGCAGCCCTGAGCCAGTGATGTCCATTCCAAAAAAAGTTTACCAGTGCCTTCTGAATGTCATCGACCAGACCATCAGGGGGATTCAGCACAGTAAACTTATGCCAAAGAGCTGATGCAATCAGAAGGCCTTATAAAAGTCCACAGGCAAACCGTCAATACCAGGTGCTCGTCCGGAAGTCAGCTGATAAACGGCTTGGGTGACTTCCTCAAAAGTCAGAGCAGAGTCCAAGGCCTGCTTTTGCTGTTGATCCAGTTGAGGAAGATCGTTGTGCAAAACCTTGGTACAGTTCTGGTCCAGTGATCCAGTTGCATACAACTCAGAATAAAACTGTACTGCCATCTTTCGCACTTCAGCTGGGTCTGCAGTGACTGTACCACCATCTTTGCGTAAGGAGACCAGAGACTTATGGTCTGAAGTGGATTGTTCTAAATTGAAGAAAAAGGCAGTGGGAGCATCCATGTCTTGTATAGATAAAAACCTGGTTCTAACCAAAGCCCCTTTTGCTTTCTCATCCAAAATGGCACTAAGGTTCTGGAGTTTTGTGGTCAAAATGGCTTGCAAGCCAGAGACATTCTGGTTTATCATGAGGTCATGTATCCTCGTTATGTCTTGTTCTAAGACTTGGACAGCTGTTCTGATCTTAGCCGTAGAAAAAGCAGTGAAATTTTGACAGAAGATCCTAATTTGAGTCTTCCCAAGTTCCCACCACTGCATAAGAGTCTCAAACCTCCCTTTTTCTGCAACCCATTCTTGCCAAAATACCTTAAAACACTCGCAAAAAAGTTTATCCAATAGAAGTTTCTTGTTAAAATACCACATACAACTCTTAGAGACATGAGAAATAAAAGAAAACTCCACCGTGCATAAATGGTGATCAGAAAAAAGAAGTGGGCTGAATAGTAGACTTACTTACACTGTTTCTCGCACTCTGAGAAACATAAAATCTATCTAAGCGTGCAGCAAAAACTCCCCCAGTCAAAAACTTTCACCCATGTGTAACATTTGACTAAAGGGTATTTTTCCCTCCATACATCTGTCATTTTAAAAGAAGATATCACATTAGCTAGAGCACGAGCAGACTGGGGGTGAGGCTCTTCTCCATTCCTATCTTTGATAAAATCTAGTGTACAATTCCAATCACCCCCATCACAACAGTATCCTCAGGGGAGAGGGACTGTAAAGTTTGACGCAGTCTACGAAACAACTCAGTCCTCCCTGATCCTCTATTATAGGAGCATACACATTAATAAAAACAAAAACTCGATCATTTACTCTCGCTCTAACCATAAGTAAACGCCCTGCTATTACTTCAGTTCTTGACAGGACAGTCACTGAGGAAGACTGAGAGAAAATGATACCAATTCCTGCACTATTACTTGAAACGTGACTAAATAGAGACTCCCCTTTAAACCATAAGCCCCAATCAGATGCTAGATCTTCATCACTATGAGTCTCTTGCAAAAAGCACACATTCAGCCTCTTGAGGCTGAAAAGTTCAGAAAAGAGGGCCTGTTTACCCCTATCTCTAAACCCATTAACATTTAGGGAACCCACCCTCAAAAACCCCATGCACTCGAAAGAGGAAGAGAGAAAAACGTAAAGCAACAGACCGGAAAAGCAGACAGAAAAGGCCCTCTGACCTCGTGCGTGGTACTCATACATTTGTACGATCAGAGCAAGGTTTGACACAAGACTTCACAGATTTTGCTTTCCGAATAGCAGTTATGTGCTTTTTTAGGCGAAAACGCTTTTGCTGGGAAAGAACATCATAACTCACGTTTTTTTTGTGCTCTCAGCACTGAG